GAGTGTGCTGCCTATATTTTCCTCTAGGAGTTTTGTGGTTTCAGGTCTTACATTCATGTCTTTAATTCATTTTGAGTTAATTTTTGTGCATGGTGTCAGATAACCATCTACTTTCATTCTTTTGCATGTGGCTGTCCAGTTTTCCCAACTTCATTTGTTGAAAGACTTTCCTTTCTCTGTTGTATGTTCTTAGCTCCTTTGTTGAAGATTAGCTGTCTATAGATGTGTGGTTTTATTTCAGGGCTCTCAGTTCTGCTCCATTGATGTGTGTGTCTGTTTTTGTGCCAGTACCATGCTGTTTTGATCACTATACTTTGTAGTGTATTTTGAATTCAGGGATTGTGATACCTCCAGCTTTGTTCTTTTTTCTCAGGATTGCTTTCATTTCAGGGTCTTTTATTGTTCCATATAAGTTTTAGGATTCTTTGTTCTATTTCCACGAAGTATGTCATTGGGATTCTGATTGAGATTACATTGAGACTGTACATTGCTTTAGGTAATATGGACGCTTTAACTATGACTATTCTTCCAATCCGTGTGCGTGGAATGTCTTTCTGTTTGTTGACGTCATCTTCTACTGCATTCAATAATGTCTTACAATTCCCACTGTACAGGTCTTTGACCTTCTTGGTTAAATTTATTCCTAGATGTTTTATTCTTTTTCTTGTGATTGTATTCTTGAGTTCTCTTTTTGCTAGCTCATTATTAGAGTATAGAAATCCAACTGATTTTTGTAATTTGATTTTGTACCCTGCAACTTTTCTCCTGTTGTTGCTTATTTCTAACAGCTTTTGTGGATGGATTCTTTAGGGTTTTCTATATATAGAATCATGTCATCCACAAATAGTGACAGTTTTATTTCTTCCTTTCCAATTTGGATCCTTTTATTTCTTTTTCTTGCCCAATTCTTCTGGCCAAAACCTCAAGTACGATGCTGAATATTGAGTGGCGAGAGTGGGCAGCCTTGTCTTTTTCCTGTTCTCAGAGGAATAGCTTTCACTTTTTCAATGTTGAGTATGATGTCGGCTTTGGCTTTGTCATATACAGCCTTTGTTATGTTGAGGTAGAGCATGTGGTTTAAGATGGTCCCAAATGCTGCTCTGTGACTTTCACCTCCTGATGTGACCCCTGAGACCCAGTCTCCTTCATGCCTTGGGGACCATAAAGCCACCTGCCTTACAGGGCTTGGTGAGAACACGTGGAGTGAGCAGCAGTGCCTGGCACGCGAGTGCCTCATCAATGGGAGCTGCAATTGCACAATGATTGTAAAGGCCATCAGCCTCACGGTTGTACTGTGTGCTCATTGTACTCATGAGGTTTCCTCAAGGCCGCGCTGTCCTGGACAACAGGCTTCTAGAGTCGGGGTGCTCTGCCTGAATTACAGGCATGTCTGTCCCTGCCCTTCATATCCATGTTAGGGTGACTTCTTGGGAGGGCGTGACACATTCAAAACAAAGGGTGGATACAGACAATTTATCCAAGGCCACTGTGTCACTAATACTCAGACCATCCTGCCCCCCACCAGCACCACCTGATTCTTTGACAGTCCTGGGTAGAAAGTTGCTGCCCACAGGACAACTGAGGCTAATGAGAGGCCACAGGCTGGATCCAGGCAGTTCCCAGGGTGCCTGTGGGTCTTGCCCTCCTGGTCTGTTCCGTGGCCTCAAAACTGTTCTCTTGGCCATCTCGAGGTCCAGCAAACTCAGTTCCCCACAGTCCAGTCCTCGGCCAAGAGTACCAAGATGGCTCCCTTATGCTTCCCCTCACTCCCCTGCACAGGACTTTGCCCTTTGGTCCCACTGCCAGGTCACCTTGGCTTGCAGTGTGAAGCCAGCCAAAGTCCTCCAGGAATTCTTCCCAGAGTCCTGCTGCAGCCTGGGGCAGTGTCCCCATGACCCTCAGGGCAGTCCCCACACCGCTGGCCTGGCCTGTCAGCTCTCTGCCTTCCTGCTCCTCCTCTTGGCATGAGCACCTTGGAGCAGGGGCACACCATCATCTCCCCGCCAGGCTGTGAGTGCCCCACCAGCACCCAGCACGTGGGACGTCCAGCGGGGCTGGAACACAGTCCAAGGCCTGAGCAAGGAAAGATGCAGGGAAAGCCGGGTAAACTGAGGAAGGCCCAGTGCGCCCCAGCAGGCTACACTCTCTGGCCCCCAACCTGGAGGAGAGTGGGTATGTGAGACTTTGGAAGGGGAGGAGCAGCTTTTACAGCAAGCAGAAATTTCAAACTTTCAAAGCCGATACCAAGAGGCCCGGCCCCAGGGAGCCATCTCTGGGTGGCCATCTCTGAGTGGGGGTTGTCCAGAGGCGCTCTGGGAAGAAGCTGGTTCTCTTACTGTTAGGGAGTGAGGGAGGGAGGAAACTGGGGGCTCACTGGGGGCAGGGGGATTTCCTGCAGCAGGCCCTGCTCCTTCTGGGGGAGAGAATTCTCCAGCTGTTTCCAGGATGAGAGCTTGCCTCACATACCCCTGAGGTGGGTGAGGGAGCCTCATCCCTCCTGGGAAATGCCCCTTCCCTAAGCTCTGTTCTCCTCTGCCTTTTCATCTGAGTGGGTTTAGGCCTCAGATTTCCCATCAGCTTCACTGATTTAAACTCAGTCTCAAATCCCACCTCTTTTCTATTGGAAGAAGGTGGGTGCTGAGGCTGGTGGGCAGTGGCCCTGCCCTGGCATGGTGTGTTCACCCCCCTGCTTGGAGGGGGCGAGAGGCTGAACAAGAGGAGGGCCTGGGAGCCACAGTTCCAGCTGGGAGGTGGCACACAATGTGGCAGGGTGGTGCTGAGGTTTGCATCTTTCCTTGAGGGACCACAGAGTCAGGGTGCGAAGGGATGGGGCTGGAGCAGGGGGACCTGACCCAGGGAGAGGGAAGTGGCTGGCAAAGGGGGAGGCCCTGGAATCCACTCCATGTGGTCCTCAGCAGGCCCATGAGGGTGTAAAGAAATTACGTCGGCGCCACTTGCTTTTGATCCCTGTGTCTTCCAGAAGGGGTTTGAGTAGCTGATGTTCAAGGACAAATGATACTGAGGAGGAAGCAGGCCCACTCCTCTGGGGGCAATGTCACATCCTATGCTAGGACACCCTGGTACCCTGAGCTTCCTGGCAACTCAGTCAACAAGGGGGAGGGCTCACCCCGCAGGTGAGATATGGGAAGGTGAGGATGAGTTCTGGGGACAAGGTTGTGACCACATCAGGGAGTGTGAGCCTAATGCGTCACGTCTGTGGCAGAATCAACTCCAAAGACCCCTGGTTCTTCCTCAGAGCTTGTACTGGGGGGAGATGCTGGGGAGTCAGGCTGAGAGCGGGGACTTCCTCTTTCTCCCCCACCCCGGATAAGCACCTGGCGAAGGAGGAGGAACAGGACTTCTGTGGCCCCCCCTGCTCTGAACATTGGCTGGCCCCTCCCTGCACCCTCTGGCAGAACAGTTGTCCTGACAAGTAGGCTCAGGGCAGAGCGCAAAGGCCAGTCTCAGCTCCCTCTATAAAGGGGCCCAGGCTGGTCAAACCCTCAAGGTTGGTGAGAGAGGCCAGCCTAGCCTGGTGCTAGGTGCCTGTGTGTCCAGAGGAGCCTAGTGTGCACTGAGGCAGGTATGGGGCTGCTGACTGGGGAGACACTGGGGCCGCTGGCCGTGGCCGTGGCCATCTTCCTGCTCCTGGCGGACCTGATGCACTGGCGCCAACGCTGGGCCCCACGCTACCCCCAGGCCCCAGGCCCCTGCTTGGGCTGGGCAACCTGCTGCAGGTGGACCTCCAGGACTCGGTTTGCAGCTTTACTCAGGTGAGGAAGGTGGGGTTTGGCAGCAGAGGTGCTGGGGACGCCACCTAGAAGCAGACAGTGGGTGGTGGTGAAGCCACAGGTTGGACAAGGAGCTGGTGGAAAGGAGGAGGCAGGCATGAGAGGCCTTCTGGGGGAGGGCAGCTGGGCAGGGCCCGGATGACGGTTTGAATTTTCCAGTCAAAGGTCAAAGAGGGCAAAGGCCTGGAGGGGGTGGGCCTTGGCAGAGGGTTTGGGATGCAGTGGGACCGAGCATAAGTTCTGTGAGCCTGAGTCCCTTCTGAGGACATCAGGAGGACAGGTGCTGAGACTGGGGAGAGGAGGCTGGTCATGAGCCCCATCTAAATCAGGAAATCGAGGTTGAGAGGAGGCAGTGACCAGGTTCAAATATTGTGCTGCTGTGAGACCCTGGGCCTCATTTTCTTCGCCTGTAAAATGGGATGCTAACTTGGCCTTCTGACAATGTTGGTGACCTCTGCAAAGTCATAGCTGAGTGGTTTGCTCCAATGTGAGGTCCTCAACCATAGAGAATGTGACCTCCAGGGTCACGAGGCCAGATTAAGTCCCTCCAAACCCTTGCTGCTGGCAGCCCACCTGTTGCCCAAAGCTCTGCCAGGAGATTGGGGCGGGCCCCTGGCAGCGGCAGGACTTCTCCAACGCCCTTGCCCCCGGCCTGCAGCTGCGACGCCGCTTCGGGGACATGTTCAGCCTGCAGCTGGCCTGGACGCCCGTGGTCGTGCTCAACGGGCTGGCGGCCATGCGCGAGGCCCTGGTGCACCTCGGCGAGGACGCCTCCGACCGCCCCCCTGAGCCCATTTTCCAGCACCTGGGCTTCGGGCCTCATGCGGAAGGCAAGCGCAGGCGAGGGGATCCCGGCCCAGTGGCAACTGAGCCTGCAACTACCAGAGACCCGGCAGGGCCAGTTGGAGGCAGGGTAGGGGACCCGCGGTGCAGGGAAGAGTCAGCGAATTTGTAGGCGCCACGGTTTGAGGAAGAAGCCTGTGCCAAGGTTGGGAGGTGATGTGGGCGGGGTGGAGGGCGTGGTCCTACAGGGAGTGGGCGGATCCCGGGCTATGGGGCTCTTGAACGGGATATCTCAGGGGCGGAAATGAGGAGGATAGAGTCAGTGTCTGCTGACCCCGGCCTTCCCTGAACCGGAAGGGGGTCTCGGTGGGCAGAGCCAAGAGTAGGGCCAAGGCCTACACCTGGTGGGGAGAACCCGCGTGCAATATGGGCGGGTGGATGGTGGGACATGTCCTCAACCAGAAGGACGTGTAAAGTGGGCGAGACTTGGTGATCTAGGGGTGGATGTGGATACTGTGGTTGGAACAGGAGCCGAGAGTAGGGGCACGGCCTTCTACACAGGGGATGCGACTATGAGAGTAGGACAAGTGGCAGGGCCGGGATCTGTCCTGCAGGTGAGGGAGAGGACAGAGGAGCCAGTGAGCTCGGTGTGCGCGCAGAGGAGAGCCGGGACACAGCCGAGCCACGCCCCGTGCCCGCCCTGCCTGCAGGGGTGGTCTTTGCCCACTATGGGCACACCTGGCGGGAGCAGCGGCGCTTCTCCGTGTCCACCCTGCGCAACTTCGGCATGGGCAAGAAGTCCCTGGAGCAGTGGGTGAACGAGGAGGTCTCGACCCTCTGTGCCGCCTTTGCCGACCAGGCTGGTGAGTGCTGGGCTGAGGGACAGGAGACAGGGATGGAGGCTGGGGAAGAGGAGATGGAGGCGACCCCCTGACCTGCACCGTCCCATCCCAGGATGTCCCTTCAGCCCCAACGCCCTCCTGAATAAAGCGGTGAGCAACGTGATCGCCTCCCTGACCTTCGGGCACCGCTTCGACTGCAAAGATCTGTGCTTCCTCAAGCTCATGGACCTGACAGAGGACATTCTGAAGGAGGACTCCAGCTTCGTGGCCCAGGTGCGGGGTGGAAGAAGACAAGGAGCCCTGCAGGCGAGCTCCGTGGAGGGGCCTCCGCTCTGGGCCGCCGCGGAGGAGGATTTGTACAGAGGGGTGTTGGGTCAGTGGGCCCAGGAGGTAGCTAAGGAACCTCTAGCTCCTTCACTGGAAGCCATGAGATGTAGATTTTAATTTTATCCTTCTTGGGCCCTGGGCAGGAGAAAAGTTTGAGGTCTGAACTTAGGGAGGAACCAGGTCAATAGTGGGGACACCCTGGAGTTGCCTGGGCCCTCACTGATCCTGGTGAGCACCTGAGCACAGGGAGGACTCAGGGCCTGGCATCTCTGACCCACACAGGTGCTGAACGCGATCCCCGTGTTCCTGCACATCCCGGGGCTGGTCACCAAGGTCTTTCCTGGGCAGAGGGCCTTCATGGCCCAGCTGGATGAGCTAGTTGCTGAGCACAGGATGAACCGGGACCCGGCCCAGCCTCCTCGAGACCTGACTGATGCCTTCCTGGACGAGGTGCAGAAGGTCAGGTGACAGGGACAAGGACGGGGTAGTAGGTTGAGGGCCCCATGAGATGCGCCTGGGCAATGAGGGGCCTAATTATCCCCTAGTAATCAGGCAGTTAGACTGACGGGTGCAGAGTGAGAGGCGATTTGGGGGCTTTCTCTCTCTGCCCCTGAGCCCACCCTGTCTGCATGGCCCAGGCCAAGGGGAACCCGGAGAGCAGCTTCAATGATGACAACCCGCGCCTGGTGGTGGGTGACCTGTTCATTGCTGGGATGGTGACCACCTCGACCACGCTAGCCTGGGCCCTCCTGCTCATGATCCTGAATCCGGATGTGCAGCGTGAGCCCAGCGTGGGGGCCTGGTGGGATGGGCCAGGGTGGAGGGGGACAAGCTGGGAGCCCTGAGCTTGGTTTGGCCACTAGAGGCACTGAGCAGAGGCTGGGCCCTGGCTCCGAGATCAGAGCGACTCTTCCTCCACATGGGCACAGCCCCTGCACAGGAGTCAGGAGGAGGGCGGGGCTCCTGTGTTGTGACCACTGTGAGGACGCTCGTCTCTCCAGGTCGTGTCCAACAGGAGATCGATGAGGTGATAGGGCAGACGCGGCGACCAGAGATGGGGGACCAGGCCCGCATGCCCTTCACCATGGCCGTGGTCCATGAGGTGCAGCGCTTTGGGGATATCACCCCACTTGGCTTGCCCCACATGACATCCCGTGACGTTGGAGTGCAGGGCTTCCTCATCCCCAAGGTAGGCCTGCAGCCCTCCTCAGCCTAGCTCAGCTCCACGTGCCCCCCTGGGAGCCCCAGGATGACCATTGCCAGGTGGGGCCAGGACTGGAACCCAAGCCACCTAATGATTTCCACAGGTGCCAACTGTCCAGCCTGGGTGGGTGTGGGGATGAGGAGAGGCAGGGCCGACCCTGTCCATTCAGAGCCCCAGTAGGGTGTTGGGGAAAAAGACAACTAAAATCTGCTGCAGTGTGTTGGAGGCATGCAGGGACAGGTGGCAGTGAGGGATCCCAAGGGAGGCAGGTCACTTGGTTCTGCCTTGGGGACAGGGAGGGTGCTGGGAAGTTTCTTGGGCTGAGATTAACTTGAAAGAGTCCAGGTGTGTGCCAGGCAGAGAGTGTGGCCCACACATGTTTGGTGGCAGGGGTCAGGCCCCCCCTAGCCCAGACCCCACCCATGCCAGGCATCTCCTGCCAGGGGACCACACTCATCACCAACCTGTCATCGGTGCTCAAGGATGAGACCGTCTGGAAGAAGCCCTTCCGCTTCCACCCCGAGCACTTCCTGGACGCACAGGGCCGCTTCGTCAAGCAGGAGGCCTTCATGCCCTTCTCAGCAGGTGCCTGTGGGGAGCCCGGCTCGCTGCCCCTCCTGGGGAGTCTTGGAGGCGTGGAGCCCAGGCCCCCAGGCTCGCTGACCCCCATCCCCACCCACAGGCCGCCGCTCGTGCCTCGGGGAGCCCCTGGCCCGCATGGAGCTCTTCCTCTTCTTCACCTGCCTCCTGCAGCGCTTCAGCTTCTCGGTGCCCGCTGGGCAGCCCCGCCCCAGCGACCACGGTGTCTTTGGCTCCATGGTAACCCCATCCCCCTACCAGCTCTGTGCTGTGCCCCGCTAGAGGGGGCACCAAGCCCCCAACCTGTTCCTTCACGGGGGCCCTGATCTCCAATAAACCATTCTGATGCCTCCAACCTGGCTTGAGTCCCACCTGAGCCCCCTGAGCAGCCTCCGGCAGTGATGTGGCCTCAATAGCCTCCCCAGGGCAGCCCTACCCCTCCTTGATCCAGCCTCACCTGGCATTTCACCCTACTTGAGACACAGGCATACTGAGGCTCAGAAGGTGACAGCTTACCCCTAGTCACTCATCCAGACCCAACACTGGCTGCCCTGGTTGGTGACTAAGTCCATGCAACTCTTGACTCCTGGGTGTCAGGGATGGGAGGAGTGTGATTGGGCTTCTGATAGAATCAGCCCATCCCGGGCTGGGGGAGCGCCCTCAGGTTCAGGGATTCACTGCGAGGACTCACGGGAGTCAGAACAGCTGTTATACTCACGGCTATGGTTTTCCAGAGAAAGGATCCAGACAGAATCACCAGGGGTCAAAGGCAGGTTGGTGGAGTTCAGGAGGAGTGGACACAAGCTTCCAGCTGTCTCTCTGAGGATTTGTGCAGACAGTGCTCAGTTCTCCCAGCAGTGATGTGTGACACAAGCAGAGAGTTTGCTCACCAGGGAGGCTCCCCTGAGTCTGGGTTTCCAGGGATTTTGTTGGGGTCAGTCACTTAGACTGCGAGAGCCACATGGCTGACCTCAGTTACTCAGTGTCCAGCCTCTCTCAAGGTCAACCAGTGTGGCCCAAGGCCCTGCCATCAATCACATTGTTGACATCAATGTAGTGTGACCCAGGACCACAGGTACAGAGACACTTGACAGGCAGGTCATCCTAAGGGCAAAGGGCATGTTTCTCAGGAGCTTGTCAAGGGCCAGGCATTTTTCTGGAATGTGCAGGGATTAAAATCCCAATTCTACGGAGTAAATTTTTCACTGCACAGGCCCCCACCCTGGTTTTTGGCTCCTACAGGAAAATGCTCATATTTGTCACTACATTTTGTGTGTTTAGGGGGGAAATGCACACAACATATAATTTGCCATCTTAATCATGTTTGAGTGTACAATGCAATGCTATTAAGTACCGATATTGTGCAAACGTCACCGCCATCCGTCTCCGGAACTCTTCATCCTACAAAACTGAAACCCTGTCCCCATTAGACAGTAACTCCCCCTACCCCCTCCCGGTAGCCCCTGGCAACCACCATTCTACTTTCTGTCTCTGTGAATTTGACTCCTAGGGACCTCACATGCAAGGAATCATAGAGTATTTGTGTGATAAGTGACTGACTTCCTTCACTTAGTGTGATGTCCTCAAGCTTCAGCCATGTTGTACCATGTGTCAGAATTTACTTCCTTTTTAAGGCTAAATAATATTCCATTGTATTTATACACCCCATTTGCTTATCCCTTCCTCCGTGGATGGACACTGGGTTGCTTCCACCTTTCAGCTATGGTGAATTATGCTGCTATGAACATGGAGTAAAAGTATCTCTCTGAGACTCTGCTTTCAGTTTGTGGATATATAACCCTGGGACTTTTTCCCACGGCAGCTGCGCCATTTTACACTCCCACCCACAGTACACAAGGGTTCCGAATCTCCACGTCCTCGCCAACACTTGCTTTTTCTGTTTTGATGATAGTAGTCAGTCTAATGGGTGTGAGGTGTTCTCTCATTGTGGTTTTGGTTTGCATTTCCAGAAAGATGAGGGACATTGAGCATCTTTTCATGTGCTTATTGTCCATTTGTATATCTTCTTTGTAGAAATGTCTCTTCAAGCCCATTTTACAATCGGGTTGTGCGTTTTGTTGTTATTGTTGTTGTTTTTGAGTTTTAGGAATTCTCTATATATTCTAGACATTAATCTCTTATCTGATACAGTCATGTGGTGCCTAATGACATTTCAGTCAACAAAGGACCCTACATATGATGGTGGTCCCGTAAGATAAGTACCATATAGCCTAGATGTGTAGGCGGCCATACCATCTAGGTTTGTGTAAGTACACTCTATGATGTTTACGCAATGACAAAATCACCTAAAAACACATTTCTCAGAACGTGTCCCCGTCATTAAGCGACATGTGATTGAATGCAATTTGCGAATATTTTCTCTCATTACGTAGGTTGGCTTTTTACTCTGTTGATAGTATATTTTGATGCGCAAATTTTTTTAATTTTCATCAAGTCCAATTTGTCTACTTTTTCTTTTCTTTCCAGTGCCTTTGGTGTCATATCCAGAAATCACTGCCAAACCCAACATTAAGAATCTTTTCTCCGATGTTTTCCTCCAACAATTTTCTAGTTTTAGCTCTTACATTGAGGCCATTGATCCATTTTGAGTTCATTTTTGTAGATGGTGCTGGGTGAAGGTCTGACTTCATTCTTTCACGTTAAGATATGCAGATTTCCCAGCACCATTTGCTGAAAAGACTGTCCTTTCCCCATTCAATGGTGTTGGCACCCGTGTCGAAATCATTGGCCCATAGATGAGGGTCTGTCTCCGGGCCTTCTGTTCTCTTCCGTTGGTCTATGTCTCTGTCTTTATGCCACTGCACAGTGTGTTGATTACTGTAGCTTTGTAGTGAGTTTGAAATGAGGAAGTATGAGTTTTACTCCTTTTCAACATTGTTTTGGCCATTTGGAGTCATTTGAGACTCCATATGAATTTTAGGATTGATTTTTCTAATTCTGCAAAAAAGTCATTGGGGTTTTGATGGGGATCGCGTTAAATCTGTAGACGGTTCTGTGTGGTGTTGACGTCTTGGCGATATCAAGTCCTCCAATCCGTGAACGTAGAGGTCTTTCCACTTCCTTGTGTCTTTCCTTTCTTTCAGCAATGTTTTGTAGTTTTCACGGTACAAGTCTTTCACCTTTTTGATTGAGTTAATTCCTAGGTGTTTTATTCTTTTTGATCCTATTGTAAATCAAGTTGTCTTCTTAATTTCAATTTCACATTGTTCATTGTTAGTGATTTTGGTGCATTGATTTTGTATCGTACTACTTTACTGAATGTATTGACCAGTCCCAATGTGGTTTTTTGTGGCATCTTTAGGTTTTTCTGCATACAAGATCATATCATCAGCAAACAGAGATAACGTTATTTCTTCCTTTTCAGTTTGGATGTCCTTTATTTCTTTTTCTTTCCTAATTGCTCTGGCTAGAACCGCCAGTACTCTGATGAATGGAATTGGCAAACATGGGCATCCTGTCTTTGTTCCTGATGTCAAAGGAAAAGCTTTCAGTTTTTCACCATTGAGTGTCACACTTGCTGTGGGTTTTTCATATATGGCTTTTGTTCTGTTGATGCAGTTTCATTCTATTCCTAGTTTGCTGAGTGTTTTTAACATGCAAGAATGCTGAACTTTGTCGAATGCTTTTTCTGCATCAGTTGAGGTGATCATGTGGTTTTTGTTCTTCATCTGTTATGTTGGCGTACAATGTGGATCAATTTTCATATGTTGAATCCTTCTTGAATTCCGTTAATAAACTCCAATAATACAAGTGGTCATAACCCTTTCCCACTTATATAATCCTTTTAATATGCTGTTCAATTTGATTTGCTAGTATTTTCTTGAGGATGTTTGCACAATGTTCATGAGGGATATTGGTCTGCAGTTTTCTTTTCTTGTGGTCTCTTTCTCTGCCTTTGATATCAGGGTGATGCTGGCCTCCTAGAATGAGTTAGGAAGCGTTCCCTCCTCTTCCATTTTGTGCAAATCTTTGAGTAGGATTGGTGTTTGGTGGAATTCAACAGTGAGGACATGAGGTCCAGGGCATTTCTTTGTCGGTAAATTTTGATTACTCATTCAATCTCCTTATTAATTAAAAGTTTATTCAGATTTTCTGCTTCTTTATGATTCAGTCTTGGTAACTTTTGTGTCTCTAGGAACGTGTCCATTTCATCAATAGGTTATTCAATTTGTTGGCATACAGTTGTTCATAGTACTCCCTTATAACGCTTTTTATTTCTGTAGAATCAGTAGTAATAGATCCACTTTCATTTCTGATGTTAGCAATTTGAGTCTTCTCTCTTTTTTTCTTAGTCCACCTAGTTAAAGGCTTGTCAGCTTTGTTGATCTTTTTGAAGAACCAACTTTCAGTTTGATGGATTTTCTCTACTATTGATGTAGTCTCCATTTCATTTATCTCTGCTCTGGATTATTGCCTTTGTTTTTTAGCTTTGGGTTTTGTTTGCTCTTCTTTTTCTAGATCTTTAAGGTGTAGAGTTAGGTAATTGATTTGAGATCTGTTTTAATGTAGCCACTTACAGTTACAGACTCCCCTCTGAAGATCACTTTTGCGGGGTTCCATAATTTTTAGTATATTGTGCTGTCATTTACATTCATCTCAAGGTATTTTGTACTTTCTCTTGTGATTTCTTCTTTGGCTCATTGGGTTTTTTTTTTTTTTTTAAGATTTTATTTCTTCCTTTTTCTCCGCAAAGCCCCCCAGTACATAGTTGTATATTTCTCGTTGTGGGTTCTTCTAGTTGTGGTATGTGGGACGCTGCCTCAGCGTGGTCTGACGAGCAGTGCCATGTCCGCGCCCAGGATTCGAACCAACGAAACACTGGGACGCCTGCAGCGGAGTGCGCGAACTTAACCACTCGGCCACGGGGCCAGCCCCTGGCTCATTGGGTTTTTTAGGTGTATTGTTTAATTTTCACATATTTGTGAATTTTCCAGTTTTCAATCTGTTAATGACCTCTAGATTGTGGTGGACGAATATCCTGATCATTCTCAAGTCAATCCAGCATGGCTTGCATGCATAGGCAGCACATCAGCCTCTTCATCTGGAAAGTTCCACATGGCATTTAAAGGAGGGGGGAATAACCCCCTCTGAAGATAAAGGCAACTTTTCAGTAGTCTCCTGATTTTGCCCTTCCCCCGCTTGACTACATTCTTGGTGCTCAGAAGTCATAGAGATGCATACGTCTCAGCATGATTTGTCCCTTTCGGAGCATCCCTGACACAATCCAACCAGATGAAAAACGAGCTTGGTGCAGTGTCAGCATCTAGCCGCAGCCTCTCCTTTACTTCTGTTTTAGCTAATTATGTATAGAAATAACCACTGGATTGTATATAGGCCTGCTTCTCAGGTTGGTGTTTCTTTTATTTTTTTTCATTTCCTTACATATCAGTGGCCAACCCCTTGGAGGTTAGCCTTATCAGTTCCCAGTTCCATAGGTAGCTTCTACCTCCAGTAACACACCACAGTGCAGCTGCTGCATCATCCCACAAGTGATGCAGAAACCATTCGGGAGTGAAGGATGGTCTACGACCACACGGCATTCTTCCTTTTCCCAAACTATGCCTTCGCCATGTTCCAGTGAGTCACGGTTATTCTAATGAATGCCACTGTTGAAGCCAGCTGAGTTGGGAGCCCAAAGACGATCCTAGGCTCAATGATTTGTTCACAGACTTCATTAATCCGTTATTGGCATGGTTATTGTCTTAGTTTGTTTGAGACGCTTGAACAAAATACCATAGACTGAGTGGGTTATAAACAACTAACATTTACTCCTCACAGTTCTGGAGTCTGGGAAGTCCAAAATGAAGGCTCTGGCAGATTTGATGTCTAATGAGGGCCCACTTTCTGTTTCTGGACAGTCAGCTTTTCATTGCATCCTCATCTGATGGGAAAGACAAGGGATCTCTCCAAGTTCTCTTGTATAAGGGCGTCAATCCCATTCATGAGGACTCCATCCTCATGACCTAATCAGCTCCCAAAAGCCTCTCTAACAAATACTATCACCCTGGGGATTAGGTTTCAAAACGTGAATTTAGGGGAGACACAGAGATTCTGTCTATAGGAGCTGTGCTTTATGACAATGAAAGGATACATATTCAAATCAGCAAAGGTAAAAGACGCCCAGGACAGACAGATAGAGACACATGGGATCCTGGCACAGGTTTGCATTTGTCCTCTTCCAGGGCGGTCATATGTACAACGTTTAATCCCCCAGCCACAATGAGTGACACAAGCACAGAATATTGCCAGTCAGGGAAGTGCAGCGGAGCCTTGGCATCCAGGGGATCTATTGAGGTTGGTGTCACAGGCATGGGGCACCTGCGTGCCTGACAGGAATGACTAAGTCTCCAGCCCCTCCGGAGGCCAGACAGGCACAGGGAGATGCAAGGTCCCCACCACATGTCACATTTACGGCATGAATGATCTGGCAAGGCCTGAGGCGCCGAGAAAACAAAGACATTGTGATCCAGCAGAATGTTCCCAGAGCTAAAGGTCGTCTCCCAGGGGCTGGTCAGGGGCCAGTCATT